GACCATCTGCTGGAACCCGTACCTGCAGAGGCATGATGACGGACAGTTACTCGTTTGAATACGTTTCATTATGTGACGTCAACATATGGGAAACAACAAAAATTCAACAGACGCTGAGCGATAACATCGTAACCTCACCTGGTCAGATACACTGTGGACGACTGTAGAGGAATGTCAGGCGTGTCTTGCTCTGCCATGAAACGGAGCAGCCGTGGAAACATGGCGATAGGAGCATTGTTCTTGCAAAGAAATTCGACGCACCGCAAGATACGGATGACGCGACGAACCTGGACATCTTCGGTGACAAAACTCGTTATCTTCTGCTGCTTGTCGTCGATGTCTTCTTGTATCTCCAACTGTCGGCGAACCGCGTCTTCATGGACCGTAGAGTGTTCATGGATGCGCATCGTTTGGGTCTGCAGATCTCGCCCACCTTCGCCTGGGCTCGAGTACTTCGTCGTCTCCTTCCCGAAATCTCGGCAAACACTGCACTTAAGGGTGGGGTACCCATCCTTAGTACGAGTAAGTATCAGCCACGGGAAGTAGCGAAGCCAATCATTCTTGTACTTAGCTACAGCGATCAGGTACTTGTGCTCGATAATCTCCTTGGTACTTAACTTCGGTGGCGGTGGTTCATCAGGGCGGGTGATAGGGGGAGGTGAGCGCGGTGGTGAAGGGGGGCGAATCTGGCCAGCAAGGTTAATCCGCTGTTGCGTGTACTTTGTCGTGCGCTGTTTCTTCGCCGAAGACACAGTAGACGCGCACAGAACGCTGTACGGAACGGTTGATGCAATGGCGCAGTCGACAGGATCTTTTACAAGGCCTCTGCTAGAAGATGCTACAGCTGGTGGGAGAATGTAATGAACGGAGGCAGGACTACATGGCAACAGTAGCTCGACGCGCGGTGGTTTGTCGACTGCGGCTGGGGCGACCGATGGGGGAGGAACAAGTGCGGCGACGTGCCACAAGAAATCTAAGCCTCTTCTCAGCGCTACAGTAGGCTCCTGCGGACCCCAGGGATGTCGGTTTCAGGGTCTGTATGCGCTGCACTCTGGAAACTCAGTACTGGCTTAGCGACAGGTCTGAATTGTTCAGGATCCCCAAAAAACTTACTTTGAATCAATCAGGACTAGGAAAATGGGTTATCTGGAAATTCAGGTTTGCACATTACACCGGCCTAAGATTTCAGAGTAAATAGTATAATAAAGTCACCCCTGATGTGTACACGTGTAAAATAAAATGCATAAGTCAATCATAAGGAAATGTAAGGAAACGGTATTCCCTTATCACGGGTTTTAGTCAGTAAGGCATACACTACTCGAACGGGGTTGCCGCACAGCTCTGCCACGAAATTCAATCGCGGCCCCAAATGTGGCCTCCTGACGAGCTGCATGCATTGTTGCCCGCCTTGATGTTGCATGCCTAGATCTGGGCGCTTCGCGCAAATTTACGAACCACATGTCGCAGCTCCGCCGAGCCACGACCGTATGCTCTATACTAGCTATATCCATGCTCCCTGCTATTTAATGTTGCCTCATTTTTATTGTTTCCTTGTCAATCAACCCTTTGATACACGCTCTTTGCTCTTCATTACATCTAGCCATTATAGCCAACGATCCTCAGCCTTACACTCTAGTTCCGCTGCAATACCGACACTTAGGGAGGTTGGCTCCCTGTGCTTGCTCCATATCAGCTTTCCTGGTAATATTCACTTATAATTTCCTAAAACTATGAGTGTGTTCGCAGTGCCAGCATGCTGAAAGCCGTGTAAAACTTCCGCGAAATTGTGGATCCGTCAGCATCTACCGCCATGACTCATGAAGAAAGGGCGGCAGCACTTGAAAAGTCCGTCTTACTCACGAGTTGTACCAGTAGGAGTTGGCTCGTCTGCGAGCTGAACGGCCCAAGATGAATCTGAGATATCTGCACTTCAGAGCCAACTGCCGCAGACACAACACTACACGACCGCACCAACGACAAATCAAGTACAGCACGAGCAAGTAACCCAACAGCGTTCCGAAACACCTGGCGACAATTAGCGACCACATGCGGCTTCGTCCAAGGGTTCGACGAACAACCCGCCACCGGCTATTGGACAAGCGGAAATAGGCGAAAGGACGAACGCAAATCTGCTGCCCCCAATTACCTCTCTAACTGGTCTGCAATCTGCCAACATGACCACGGCACCAGGAATACTCAAAACGCAGAGGCCGCCCACTTTCGACCTGAGCCAGCGTGGCAGTTTGTCCGCCAGCGGGTGGATTTTTCATATGAATGTTTTTTACGGCTGCAACCTCGTCAGCGACGACGCGCAGAAAATTCGATACGCCATGTTGCTCCTACATGGACCGGCTATGGACTGGTGGCAGCAGATAATTCAGCCGCAGAAGCCGGACACGATGTCGCGCGTAGTCGAACGGTTTCGCACAACCAATTACTGGGCAGGAATTTATTGCGAAGTGGACGAGTACATCACGTGGCAATCGTGGTGTGCGGGAATTTGTCGCCGCTTCGAACACGTCAATGCAAGTAGTCAAGCGCGCGACCACCTTTGCACATGGCGCCAACTAGGATCGGTCCAGGACTACACTAGCAGCTTCAATAATTTATGCGACCAGGTCGGCTACATTCACGCTGACGAGAAAATCGACAGATACATCGGGGGATTTCGACCGGATCTGCGCAGAGAAATACAGATCAGGGAATTTACAGATTTGATAGAGGCACAGAGGGTTGCGAAGCGGCTGGATTTGTTCTTCAAGCCAAGGGCAGGTTCCAATGACGGAAGTCGCACACGGGGACCAATCGAGCATGCCACTGTATGCGCTGTTACAACAGCGAACTCAGCAGTTACACCCTTCAAGGATCGCTATTTTGGGTGTAACAGGCTGGGACAGTGCAAGTCAGAATGCCCAAAGGAACGGAAGAAGCGGAATCAGGGGCAAGGGAGTTCCAGGGACCAGGGAAATGCTTAGTATCAGTAGTTAACGGGCCTGCTACTGATGGAACCTGCTCGCCCGTGACCGATAACCCTCATCGAGTACTGGTACCGATCCACGCAATCGACCAAGCTTGGCTAAATAAGGGGGGTGCAGCGGCAGATTACTCCATTTATTTATAGGGTAGGGTTCAAGGGGAAAAAATAAATAAATAAATCTTCGTAAACGCGAAAGCCAGGCACAGCCTGATCAACCTTGCTACGACAAAAAAAATGAAGTTACCCTTAGATAGGTGACTACTGGAGATTGAGGCCTAGTCGATGGGATCCCACTACACCTTAGGGTTACCCGATTCCGCGCGCCGACGAACTCATCGACCAACTTCGCAAAGCTCGCTTCTTCTCGAAAATAGATTTACGAGGGGTTTACCATCAGATTTGCGTAGTCGCAACTGACTGTCACAAAACTGCATCTCGTACTAGGTACGGGAGTTTTTAGTATGTAGTTATGCCCTTCGGTCTAACGAACGCCCCGACAACTTTTCAGATGACCATGGACCAGATCTTCAGTTCGCTTGTAGATAAGTGTGTTATTGTCTACCTAGACAATATACTGATCTACAGCGAGACCCGGGAGCAACACTTAAAGGACCTCAAAGCCGTTTTCACGCTACTGCAGGAGCATCCGCTGCTCTCGAAGGGGTTTAAGTGCGAATTTGGGACACGTTATTTCCACTAAGGGCGTCGAAGTTTACCCGTACAAAATCGAGACAGTGCAAGCGTGGCTACCGCCTAAGAACCTGCAGGAGCTTCAAAGCCTTTTAGGGTTCGTCAACTATGTTCGGAGATTTATCCGAATATGGCGGGGGTAACTCCACCGTTAACTGTCATGTTGCGGAAAGGGACTGGGTATAGGTGGGGGGAGAAAGAGCAAGCTGCCTTCTCCGCCCTCAAAACTTTTTTTTGCTCAGCCCCTATCCGTTGTATCGCCGATCCTCACCGCCCATTCGAAGTAATCACAGACGCCAGCGACATCGCCATCGGAGCAGTGTTGTTACAAGACTTCAGCGAAGGACTGCAACCAATCGCGTACGAGTCACGAAAGCTGCACCCACTCGAGCGAAATTATCCGATACACGACAAGGAGATGATCGCGATCGTGCACGCTTTCAAGATGCGGCGATGCTACCTGACGGGCGCGGACGCGACAGTAAGGACATACCACCGAAGTCTATAGTACATCCGCACACAACCACTACTCAATCCACGACAGGTTCAGTGGTTAGATTTCATGGAGTCCAACATCTAGGAAATTCAAATCGCGGCCCCAAATGTGGCTTCTTGACGAGTCGTATAAATTGTTGCTCGCCTTGCTGTTGCATGCCTAGGTTTGGGCGCTTCGCGACAATTTACAAACCACACGGCGCAATTCTGCCGAGCCACGACTGTGTGCTCTAGGCTAGCTATATCCATGCTCCCTGCTGTTTGATGTTGCCTAAGTTGTATTGTTTCCTCTTTGCGCTTCATTATAGGAAAAGAATAACTTAGGCACTTGGACATCAGCCTCGTTATAGGATGCATAAAAAAAGAAAGGGATTGACCGCCGGATTTCGCGGGATTTCTCTGCCATCCTTGGCCATTCGCTAAACAAAGCGCTCGGAGTTACCTTTTCGTTGTGGGAGTGGGAGCCCAACAGTTGGTCAGACGAACAGTCACGACACGCGGGGCGAAGATCCACGAAACGAAGAGTCACAGACAGAGGGCAGATGTGTTTGGTGAAGTGATCAAGGAACTTTATTCGTTTTGAGCTGCCCTCTAAAGCAGAGTGAAAATGTTGTGGGTATTTTCACTGTGCTGTACTTGAGAGCTCACGCATTTTAATGCCACTCGGAAGTATGTTGTTGAACCCAAGGTTCAAGTTTCTTTTTCCTCAGAATGGGAAAAACTTGATGAAAACCACTCGAAAGGCTTGCGTTTCGAGGGTGAATTCTCCCTATCTCCAGGTTTCCGCTTCAAAAGCTCCTTCGATCCTGGCTCGCCTTATCCACACACGTTTGATGCTAGCGTATCTGTGGCCTGTAAATTGCCTCTAGCTTGATTCTGATGGTTCTGCTGTGCGTTCCTGTTGAAACACAGCAGGGTTTGCTGCATTTTAGGTAGTAGGGCGTCTCCGCTGGTCGAAAAATCGTCACTCAAGCTCATGGCCTTGCGATTCGCATACAGCATAAGGATCGTGACTCGTGAGTTTAGTGAGAGAGACAGAGTGATATGGAGGAGGTGGAGCTGATAGACTTTTGAGTCAACTCAAAAGTACTCAGGACTCAAAAGGACTCAAAAGGAATCGAAAGTCTCCTCCTGAGGTCAGCGACAGAGGCGCAGCGCCATGGAGCAGGTGGAGCTTATTTCCTACATAGGTCTCGTGAAAGGCGGTGCGATTGTAGCGGAGTATGGCAGGGAAGCCGACGTCTTTCGAGAGCCTATCTGTGACGCGATTTCCGCGATTCCCGCTCACGTCTCTCAGTTCTCTCTGGTACGTGGCCTGGTTTTGAGGAATCAAAACGCCTCCTGGTTTTCCCTGGTGCGTGGTTTGGAGCCTTAGAGGCGTCCTCAACGGTTAACCTACTTGGCGTTCGTAGGCGTATATCTTCGGTCGAGACGACGGCAGAGGGGACCGCTGATTTATTCATGTATTTGTGCTTGTAGCTTTAGGGCGTGTCCCAAGAGTACGTCTCCCTCACACCTCGTACAGGTCCAATGCGATGTCCAAAGGTTTGAAACGGTGAAGCAGAAAACCGTTGTCAATTGTCTTGCACCATACAAAACCGCATACGATTTCTGTGGGACGTACTCTTGGGACACGCCCTTATCAAAATGACGTCGTATGATCATTCTCCGCATCAGGTTATGGCCGTCCCTCTTAATAGTTACTTCGGAATAGTTCTACCTGTACTTATGCGTGTTTGACATCGAAAACATCTGCCATCTCCCTTAGTTCTGTCAGATCCCCCTCCCCCATCTCCTTCATTTTCATCATTTTTCTGTCAACTTCTACTCTTCGTCAACTTCCACTCGTCCGTCAACTTTCACTCTTCCGTTCCACTCTTCCATCAACTTCCCCTGTTCCGTCAACTTCCCTCCGACACAGGGCCACGGGAGCATCTTGGTTGTGCTCCAGCGATGGTCGTCCGGCCTCGTCTGCTTCCTCATTGGTTACCACCCGTTCGCGAAAGACCAGGCTTGTTCGCTGCTCGCCATCCTGCACAACGTTCTCGGCAAGGAAATCCTATCATCAAGCAGCGGCGATGCTAGTAGCGACATCCCCGCTATTACCAGCCTCGTTAGCACCGAAGAAGTCTTTTCCGGTTTAGCGGAAAGCTCGGAAGATGGAGACGCTGAAACCGGGATCGTGTCAGCCGCTTCGTGGTCGCGTGCCACGTCATCGTCGCGTGCCACGTCAGACACGACCGTTGGCGACAGCGACGCGCTTAAAGACGTCCATAATAAAACCATCCTAAAAGACATACCGAGCGACATTGTCGAAGCCATCAGCCAATCAATGGCGTCCATGTCAGCGCGGTATCGCGGCGTGGCGGGCCATGGGTTACCCTCCTTGGACCCCTATCCCGACGCGCCCGACGCGTACTTAACTAGCGTTCAGGAGCCGCCGCCTTTGCCGGCGAGTGAGGGGGATAGCAGTAGTGAGGAGGAGGATGAAGCGGCGGGAGTGGCGAGAAGGAGGAGGGAGAGGGAGAGACGGAAGGAGGAGAGGGAGAGGAGAGAAAAGAAGTGGGAGGAGAGTAAGGGGAAGGGGCAGGAGGGGGGGGCGGAGGAGGGGAGGGGGGATGAGGAAAGCGGGGAAGGGGGTAGCGGAAAAGCGGAGGGGGTCGCCGTTGAGGGAGCGGGAGTTGGGGCGGAAGGAAGAGACGGGGGGAAAGGAGGGGAAGGAGGAGAAAGAGAAGGAGGAGGGGTAATGCTGGTAGGAGATGCAGCAGGGGCACGGACGGCAGCAGCAGCAGCAGACAGCGCATTAGAAAATTCTCCAGGAAAACTGTGCGAGCGAGGTGAGGAAAGGGAGTGTGGGGAGGAAGGAGAGGGAGGAGGGGGAGGAGGGGGAGGAGAGGAACAATCTCAGGCTCGGTCTCCCAGGTCTCAGCCAGGTGGCAGGGAACTCCCGGTCCTGACCCCGAACCTCCCGCCGTGGCTCGGTAGCCCGCTGCTGGCCGGGGCAGCGGGAGGTTCGGCGGCGGCGGCGGAGTGCGCGTCCCCCGACATTGATCGGTGGCGAGAGACGCGGAGAAAGGAGAAGCAGCGGGAGACGCAACGGTCGGCGGGGAGGCTGATGGGGAGGGCAGACGCGGGGGTGAGTGAGGGAGGGAGTGTGAGGATGGGTGAGGAGGAAGGGAAGGAGAAGGGCTGGGATCAAGAGCGTGAGCAGGGTAAGGTGCAGGGGCAGTGGGAGGGGAGCGAGACAACGCAGCTGCAGCAGCACGGAGAGCAGCAGCAGCAGCAGCAGCAGCAGCAGCAGCAGCAGCAGCAGCAGGAGCAGGAGCAGGGGCAGGGGCAGGGGCAGGGGCAGGGGGGGGAAGGCGCGGAGCTTGGTCCTTCGGGTTCGTTCTCATACTCGGAAGGGGAGAAGCAGCAGCGCGAGCAGCAGCAAGAGCAGCAGAGGCATGGGCGGCAGAGCAGTGACGGCGATCTGCAGGTGGAGATACTGGGAAGCAGCGACGCACTGGGAGGAGAACAGCTAGAGCTTCAGCCACAGCAGCAGCAGCAGCAGCAGCAGCAGCATTCTAGCATCTGGAGCCGCTTTTCCGGCCGCGCCCCTTCCCCCTCCCGCATGCTCCGCCGCGCCCTCACCCCCCCACGCTCCTCCCGCACTCCCCCCCGCTCCTCTCCCACTCCCCCCCGCTCCTCCCCCCCGCCCCCCCACTCCACCACCCCCCCCCGCTCCCACACTCCCCCTGCCTCTCCGCCCCGCTCCCAGACCCTTACCTTCCCCCTAACGGCCCCAAGGTCCCCCGTTCATCCGGTTTCCGCGGGGAAGGGGGCGCAGGGGGAAGGGGGGAAAGCAGGGTGGCGCAGGAGGCGGGGGAGTGAAGGGGGGGGCGGAAGTGGGGGGTGGGGGGAGGGTCTGGGCGGGGAGGGGGGAGGTGTGAGCGGGCGGAGCAGCAACAGCAGCGCTGGTGGTGGCGCTAATGCTGCGGCTCCTGCTGGCGCTGCTGCTGGTGCCGGTTCTTCTGATGCTGCTGCTGCTGCCGCCGCTGCTGACGCTGATACTGCTGCTGCGTTGGGCAATCCAAGCCATGCCATGAGCCGCAGCAGCAGCACGGATGGAGTCACAACTCGTTCCTCTACCACCAGCAACCGCAACAGCAGCACCACCACCATCACTGGCAGCAGCAGCAGCAGCAGCAGCGGCAACGGGAGCACGAAGTTGGCTCGGTTCATGCGCTGGTTTCCTAAGAAGTCCAACTCCACCTCCATGATGCCGCTAGACGCGTCCATGACGCTAGACGCGTCCATGCCGCAAGGCTCTACTTCAACCATGCCGTCCGACCCCTCGCACGCGTCCCCTCGTTCTCTTGACCCCCATGGTGCTCCTAGCCCTCGTGCTTTCGGCAGCCTGCCTACTGATGGCTCACCCGCAGCTGAGGCAGCTGCCGCGGCTGCGCCTGCAGCGGCAGCGGCAGGGATAGCAGCGGCTGCAGTGGCTGTGGTAGCGGCTGTAGCGGCTGCCCCTTCCAGCCACACCGCAGCTACAGTCTCTGATCATACAGCCAATCAGGTCCATCCACGTGACGCTTTGATGTCGCCACGTCAGCAACGAGGCAAGGACGACTACCCAGCCCCGCCTCCGTCCGAACCTGAGTCCGAGCCGGTTTCCGAGCCTCCGTCCGAGCCACCCTCGGAGCACCCTTCCGAGCCTGTTTCCGAGCCTGCTATGGGGTCTGGTAGGGAGGAGAAGGAGTACCAGCCACGGATTCCTAAGTGTGACAGTACTGATGGCAGAAGAGGAGTGCTGGTGACTATAAAGGGCCCTTCGTTTCCAGTGTTCTGCACCAGTGGGGATAGCGTGGAGTCTCCTGATGACACCTCAGCTGTTATCATTGATGATTTGGCAACAGCTCGGGGGAATTCTGGTCCGTCGGATGGCTTGGGAGCAGCAGGGAGGGCTCGGAGGCGGTTCGGCGGCTTCCGAAGCGCGTCTACCACTGGTGGTTCGGCATCGGGAGGGGGAGGGGAGCAGCGGGAGTATAAAACGTTGAAGGAGCATCTATTTGAAATCAATAAAGGGCAGCATAAAGAGACACGCAATAAGGAGGACAAGGAGCAAAAGGAGAAAAGGGAGAAGGATAAAAAGGAGGAGAAAAGCCAGAAACAAAATCGAGAAAAAAAGGTCTTAGGTCTAGGTCTAGGTTTGGGACTTGGCCTCCCCTCACTTTCCCCCTCTCCCTCCCTCTCCCCTTCCACCCCCTCGGACCCCTCTTCTCTATCACAACCCACCTCTGACTCGCGCCTCCCACTCACCCCGCCCACATGCTCCCCCGCGCACTCACCCATCTCACACTCCTCCCCTCTCTCCTCTTCAGCCATCCCCCCCGGCCGACACAGCCACCTTGGCATCAGCACCAGCAGCACCAGCACCACCAGCTATAGCCCTCACAGTGGTACCAGAGTATCCCGTTCCGGGTCAGGCTCGGAGCCAGGTCTGGGGTCAGGTTCGGGGTCAGGTTCGGGGGCGGGTTCGTTCCGGTTCCTCAATCATTCGATAGGCGCGGCACAGAGGGCGCACCGGTTGGCTGCTCACTCTATCCGCATCATTGGGCCAAAGAGGCTGGCCACTGCTGTGGCCAAGCAGCGGGAGCAGCAGCAGCCACAGCAGCAGCAGCAGGAGGAGGGGGAAAAAGGAGGGGAGCAGCAGCAGCAGCAGCAAAAGCAAACGCACAAGCGCGTATATAGTCTGAATGCAGGTGGAAACACCAAGGATTTGGGGCAGGATGGAGAGAGTGCAGATGTCGGGGAGGAGGTGAGTAGAGGAGGACAAGGAGAGGAGGGAGGAGGGGAAAGCAGAGAGGTGGGAGGGGGAGGTGAGGGAGAAGTGACAGATGCAGGGGTGGCGGCAGTGACCAGAGCAACTACTGCTGCTGCAGCAGCAGAAGGAGCAGCAGCAGCAGCAGCAGCAGCAGAAGTATCAACAGAACCAGCAGCACCAGCAGCACCAGCAGCACCAGCAGCACCAGCACCAGCAGCACCAGCACCAGCACCAGCAGCACCAGCACCAGCAGCACCAGCAGCAGGAGTATCAGCAGGAGCTCCAGCACGCACAAGAAAAGGGCCACCAAAGTCTGCTCCTCTAATCCTACCACTTGACCCTACTGAAGGGCCAGACTCAACTCCTCGCCTCCCTTCCCTCCCAACCACCCCAGCCCAACAAACACACTCAACCTCCCCTTCACCTTCCACCCCCGCTCCCGCCCATTCTCACACAGCACCGCAAGAACACCCGCCCCCCTCTCCCTCCCCCTCACAGAAGCCCCCCTCCCCCTCTCTTTCCCCCTCACCCTCCCCCTCGCCACGCTCCCGCAAGGGGTCAGGGCCGGTGCAAACAACAGTAGAGGCGTGGGCTTGGCTGTTTGGCCGGGCTGTGTCTGCAGGGGGGCTGGTGGGGGGAGGCAGGCTGGGGAAGAAACAGGGGGGGCGGAAGGGGGGTGTTGCAGAGGAGGGAGAAGAAGGGGTGGGGGGGGGATTGGTGAAGGGTGGGGAGGAGAGAGGGGAGAAAGAGGTGCAGAGGGGTGGAGATGGAGGGGAGACAGGAGTTCAAGCAGGGTTGGAGCGTGGGAGAGAGTGTGAGGCAGAAGGTGTGGGTGGTGCTGTGAAGGATGGGATGAGGGGTGAAGATGATCTGGTGTTGGGGGGGGGGCAGGGGAATGAAGCTGGGGAGAAAGGTGGTGGAGTGGGGGAACCAGGCATGGGTGCTACACCATCCGCTGCTGACGCAGTCACAGGTCAGCTTGCCTAGACATTCCGTTGTCCCACCCCAAGGGCTGGCTTCGCTTTGCGATTCGGCTTTGCGTCCCCCCAGTTGCGGTGTTCCTTCTCGCCAACACTTTTTCCGCTCGATATTTCCGCACCCCCTTTTTTCTCGCATACAAAATTCCCCTATTGATCTACCCCGCCCTGGAGCTGAGATCTAGATGCGGGATGGGTTGTCTTGCTGAGTGTGAGCTTGTAGCTTTCTAGAATCACTGTTGACATTAGGGGAACAAATCGTTTGGGTAATCTGCATCCTGACCTCTTATGCAGTAGGTGTGCCTTTTCAAGTGTGTGCTAATATAATTCTGGGTTGTTTGTAGGCTGAGAATCGCAACTTGTGATTAAGGCCCGCGGTTAAATCAGGTTTGAGTTTGATGATGGAGGAAGGCTGTTGAGGTCGTGTTTACTGATGTAGTAGTTATTTACACGATTCCGAGGGAGCCTCGTCCTACAAGCACACCTGCCCCAAACGAGTCCCCTTGCAACCCTCCAATACATTTCTAGAAGTGCTATCCTCTCCCCGCAAGTGCCGCTGGACCCACGGGTGGCTCAGCACCTTCGCTGCCGACGGTCGGCGCACGGGGTCTTTCTGGAGCATACACCTTATCAGCGTCTTCGCTTCTGCGGACACTCCATCCCACGAACTGCCGGGGAAACTAACTGGCGCGTGCACGACGGAATCGAAGATCTCTTGGTTCGAGTTTCCCCAAAACGGCGGGCGACCGCTAAGCATGACGAAGAGGATGACTCCCAAGGACCAGACATCCGCGGTATAACCATACGCTCCGGTAAGGACTTCGGGAGCGACGTATAACGGGGATCCTGCTGCGCCGCGTGCTACTTCGTGCGATTGAAGCTCGATCGCGAGCCCGAAATCCGCGATTCTGACAGCGAGGAAGTCAGCGTCACCCTCGTTACAATCAGCTTCGTTACAAGCCCCGGTTTCGCTAGGGAATACAGAACCATTTGAAAGATTCTCCATGCTTAGGAGAATATTCTCTGGCTTCAAATCGCGATGCAGCACGCCGCGCGAGTGGCAGAACGCGACACCAGATGCGAGCTGCCAGAGAACCAGCGCCGCCTCTTCCTCCGTCAACGAGCCGCGATGCGCGATCAGGCCGAAGAGCTCGCCCGCGTCGCACAAATCCATGACCAGGTGCACCGAATCTGCGTCCTCGAAAACTCCGCGCAGTTGCACCACGCCCGGATGCCCCGCGGCCTTCTGCATCGTCCGAACCTCGCGTCGAAGCTTGTCCCGCGCGTCTTCGGTCGAGAGGTGCCGCTTCGAAATGGATTTGCATGCGAAAGGTAACCTGGTTTCACGGTGCGCGCAGCGGCGAACTGTGCCGAATTGGCCTGAGCCGAGAACCTCGCAGTCGATATCGAAAAAATCGCCAATCTGGTGTACGGACGGCCCGAAAACATTGTCGCTGATGGTGTTGCGCTCATCGCGCTCCCTGCGGTCGAGAGGGATCGCCGCGGCGGATGGGGAGGAGCAATCGCTTGCGCAAGCGCGGGCGCAGTCGCTGGGGGAACCGCGCACGCGCTGGAGCTTTTCTGAGCGGAAGCTTGCCGAGCCGTCAGACTCCGAGACGGAGTCGGAACCGACGGCTTGGATTTTCCTCTTGCTTCCTGACCAGGTGCTGTGCGATCGGGAGAGCTCTAAGCAGACTGACACAGTCGAGTTGCACGCGGAGTCTGACGCAGACAAACCCATGGCGGCGTCTATCGCAAGTACGACGTAGTCTACTACTAGCAGTACAAGTGTTCACTGAGCCCGGCGGTCTGGGTGTTTGCTTTGCTGACGCTACGTACTTCTTCCGCTGGATTCGCAGCTGACAAGGGGAATGCAGAAGCTGTTGGTAGCTGTTGGTCGAAGTGACAGTTACGGCGGTAATTAAATACTTCAGCTGTAGAGGCAGTAGAGGGTATAGCTGCCTGAGGGCGAACCGAGGGTGGAGTGGAGGGAGGGCCGCTTTAGGGTGAGCAGGCACTGGGACCCGCAGGGAGGATTAGCAGGGACGGCTGACAGGGAGAATGTGTTACAGCATCTGTTTCATTACAAATGCTGCGAGAAGAATCTATTTCGTGAATTTGTTCGAGGCCAAAGGATCACCGCCAAATTGGAGCTGATTTGGGCGCGATTCGCTGTTGTGCCTGCTTGGGCCGAGTTTTGGTTGACATCAAACCTGCTCTGCTTCGGTTCATTCGTATCAGCCACTGCGGAAGTAAACCGATCTAAACCGATTTCGAGACCCTAGCAGCCATCTTAACAAGGAGCCGAAGTCGGGCAATCTGGCTGTAGTGCGGATGCAGAAATCAGCAGAGAGGAGATTCTGTGCAGGGCGTTACCTGGATTCCCTGCTTGTTAAGGGTGGTTTCCGTCCAAAAAGTGCAAATATCTGAGCAGGCAAGATGCCTCTCACCCTTGCAGCTCAGCTAAAAGTTGCAGCCACGCCATATCTGCCTTCAGGATCAATGGCACCTCCTCGCTATTGCAAGGTGCCATTTTTCACGTCCCCTTAAAATGCACCGCACTTCCCGAATTTTTTTCGAAATGGCTATGAGATTGTGGAAGCTCGTCCTGCCCCACACCCCTCCTACCCCGACTTTTCCACCCATCACCCTGTTTAACCAGCTGCCCGGGGGCACCCTGAAATGCCATTGTGGGTGGCACACAACGAATGGATTGGCCTGATGCTGTGACTCGATATCAACGGCACGCATCACTCCCCCTACCCTATTTCAGATTGCAGACCAGAAAGTGAAGCTATGGGCAGAAGTTGGGATGAGCAGATTTTATCAGACACCATGCACAGCAACTTCAACAAGGTTTGCGCATCGCGAAGGGAACAGTGCAGGCGTAATGCAGTGCAGTAGTGTTCCAAACACCTCCATACATGAGAAAGATCCGCAATGGGTGGGTGGTGTTTTTGCGTTTATGTAATGTACTTATGAATTATAACTCAGAATTCAATAAGGGAAAAGTGATTAGAGTTACGATAGAAATGAGGCCTAGGCAATATATAGGGCGATTGACCAGGGTTGAATGTCGAGGGTTGGACCAGTGAAGGGCTCGATAGTTCCGAGTGTGTAGGGTCAAAATTCTCAGAACTGAATAATGAATGATGAGAACATGTGTATAAGTAAATATATCTAAGGGTTGTACCCTCTAAGAGGTGACCCTATACAGTCTATACAAAAATTACAGATTACACATGTTTGACACACCCCCTAGACTGCATAGGGGCAGTTCCTGAACAAGTAGCTCAGGGCGGCACTACTAGTCCAGCCTCAGAGACAAGGGTCTAAATGTCAAACATGTGTAGTTTTCATGTTTGTATAGACTGTATAGGGTCACCTTCTAGAGAGTACAACACTTAGGTATATGTTTGTGTACTCTCTATCTCAAATCATTCAATTCTCTTTTGTTATGGTATCACGCGTAGGTAGGATCCCCCCCCCCCCTCTAACGCTTCCGCTCGCCCCCTAGCTGGGCCCCGTCGTGCTCCTAGCCCCGTCGCGACCGTCCCTAGCCCCGTCGCGCCCCTTTCCCTAGACCCGTCGCGCCCCTCCCTGGGCCCTGTCGCGCCCCTCCCTGGGCCCCGTACCGCCCCTCCTGGGCCCCCCGTCGTGCTCCTAGCCCCGTCGCGACCGTCCCTAGGCCCGTCGCGCCCCTTCCTGGGCCTCGTCGCGCCCCTCCTGGGCCCCCCCCCCCCCCCATTGCGCCCCTCCTAGGCCCGTAGTGCCCCTCCTGGGCCCGTAGCGCCCCTCCTGGGCCCCCCATTGCGCCCCTCCTGGGCCTCGCCGCGCCCCTCCTGGGCCCCCATTGCGCCCCTCCTGGGCCCGTAGCGCCCCTCCTGGGCCTGTTGCGCCCCTCCTGGGCCCTGCCGCGCTCCTCCTTGGGCCCCGTATCCACCCTCCTGGGCCCCGTCGCGCCCCTCCTGGGCCCCCCTTCGCGCCCCTCCAGGGCCCCTGTCGTGCCCCTCCTGGGCCCCGTCGAGCCCCTCCTGGGCCCCGTCGCCCCTGCTCGGCCCCGTCGCCCCTGCTCGGCCCCGTCGCCCCTGCTCGGCCCCGTCGCCCCAGCTCGGCCCTGTCGCGGCCTCTCGGCCCCGTGGCGCCCGCCCGGCCCCTGTCGCAGCTGCCCGGCCCCTGTCGCCCCTGCCCGGCCCCGTCACGCCCGCCCGGCCCCGTCACCCCCGCCCGGCCCTGCTGTGTCCTGCCCGGCCCCGTCGCTGCCGCCCGGCCTTGTCACTGCCGCCCGGCCCCGTCGCAGCCGTCCGGCCCCGTCGCAGCCGCCCGGCCCCGTCGCAGCCGCCCGGCCTCGTCGCTGCCGCCCGGCCCCGTCGCAGCCGCCTGGCCCCTCGTCGCGCCTGCCCGGCCCCGTCGCGCCTGCCCGGCCTCGTCGTGCCTGCCCGGCCCTGTCGCGCCTGCCCGGCTCCGTCGCGCCGGCCCCGGCCCTCCATACTTCCTGGTACTGTCCCCCGTTCCCCGCACCACTTTGCACCCTCCTGCACTTTCCTGCCCCGCCTTGCACCGCATTGCACCTCACTGAACCGCACTGACCGCACTGCACCGCACTGGACCGCACTGCACCGCACTGCATCGCACTGCACCGCACTGGACCGCACTGCACCGCACTGCATCGCACTGCACCGCACTGCACCGCCCTGCACCGCACTGCACAGCACTACACCGCACTCCACTGTCCTCCACTGCCCCTCATGGCTGCTGAGCTTCGTTTTGATGCTGAGGGTCAGCCTCTGGAGTTCGAGGCGTGGTTGGCTGACCTTCGCCGCCACCTCACTGGTCAGCGGCAGGACGGCCACCCGCTTTCTGCACACCTAGACGGTATGCTCCCCTGCCCTGACCCCCCTGCTGTGCTGCCCGCTGATCCCACGCCCGCTGAGCGCGAGTCCACTGCCGCCGCTGCCCTTGCCCGCTCTGTATGGCTTTCCCGCGATGCCCTTGCTCAGCTCGCCATTAGCAATGCCCTCCCCCCCCTTGAGCGCCCTCGCTTTAGAACCATTACTACCGCCCAGGCCTACCTCGATGCTGTCATCAAGCGCTATTCTACCCCTCCTGCTGTCTCAGTGGATCGCCTGATCCTCCCCCTGCTCTTTCCTGACCTGGCGTCTTTCCCCACTGTCTCTGACCTCGCTGCCCACCTGCGCTCGATAGATGAGGCCTGGCGCGCTGCCTGCACTGATGCACAGCTTAGAGTCCACCAGCCTCCCATGACCTCTACCCTCTACCTCCTTGCCACCCGCCTCCCTGACCGCCTTGCCGCCGCCCGCGACCAGTTCCTTAGCATCCACCCTGCTGCTCTCACCCTCACCGACTTTGTTGACACCCTGACTGCCATAGAGACTCGTCACCGCTCCATAGCCCAGGCGAGCGGTACAGTACCGGTCCCTATCTTTCAGGGTTGTGCCCCCGCTCAGTGTACCTTCTCCGACGGCTCTGTCGCTGTGGCTGAGACTGCTGCTGCAGTGCAGTCCCGCTCGGGGAAGGGCCGCCGCCCCAAGGTTGGGAGCGGCGGAGGCGGCGGGGGTGCGGGTGGGGGTAGTGGTGGAGGCGGGTCGTCCGGTGCCGGTGCGGACGTGGGGACCCTGCCCGGTCCAGCTGCCCCGCTGCCTCCACCGTTGCAGCAGCCGCAGCAGCAGCAGTCGCCGCAGCCGCAGCCTCCGCAGCAGCCGCCGCAGACGAGGCCGGCGAGTGCTCTCCCGCCTGGGTGGCCTGGAGCTGGTGGTGGTCGTGCGCGTGGTGGTGCACCGGGTGGTGGTTCTGGAGGCGGGCCCTGTCAGTACCAGATCCAGACCGGTCCTCGCCGCGGCTTCGTTTGCGGTAAGATCGGTCATTCCACTCCTCGCTGTTTTCGTCGTCTGGACGACCTGTTCCGCCAGCGCTTTGGCCCGGCGCCCGACCTCCCGGACTGGCACAGCTTGCTTAGGCGTAGCATTCGGATTTTTGACTTGGACATGGATGCCATTGTAGCAGCCTTGCATGTGATGTATGCCGATGACTCTAGTGTGCTTCCCTCTTATTACCCCGTGTTGCCTAGTGTAGCTGTGCCTAGCGTAGACTACCCTGCTGCATCAGGCGTAGGATCTCCTGCTTTGCTTAGCCTCGGTGCTTCCACCGCTTCACTGTCGCCCCGCGCGACTGCTGCGCTTTCCTTCATCTTGGACTCTGGCGCCTCCCGGTGTTTCTTCCGCGACTCCACGACGCTGACGCCGCTGCCTGTTCCCGCTGCAGTTACTCTTGCTGACCCCTCCGGTGGTCCCGTCGTTGCCCGCAGTTCCACCTCCCTTCCCTGTCCGGCGTTTCCTTCAGGTTCGCTCACCGGTCTGCATATCCCCTCGTTCTCCAGGAACCTAGTTGGTGTCGGCTGCCTCCAGGACCTTGGCGTCACCACTACGTTCCCTGGTCACGAGCGGTATGCTGTCTGTACCGAGGCCGCCACTGGTGCCCCCCTTACCACTTTCCCCCGGGACCCGGTGTCCGGCCTGTTCACACTTGACACCGCGACGTCCCCGGCTGGGTCTTCCCCCCAGGTAGCTGCGTCCACCCAGGTTGCTGCTGCGTGCTCCTGTCGGTCCCTCACTCATCCGACTCTCCTTTGGCACCACCGCCTTGGTCACCCTGCACTCCCGCGTCTGCGTCACATGTCCCAGCACGGTCTCGTCCTTGGTCTCCCCGGTTCGTTCCCTGAGTTTCCCTCCTCCCCCGCCCCCCCGTGCACGCCTTGTGTCGAGGGCCGGCTCCGCCGTGCCCCTCACTCCTCCTCTTTTCCCCCTACCACCGCACCTCAGCAGACTCTGCACATGGACGTCTGGGGCCCAGCCCCGCTCCATGGGCCGCGTCGCGAGCGCTTCTTCCTCGTGCTTGTCGACGACTTCACACGTTACACCACCGTCTTTCCCCT